AAAATACTAAATATAAAACTATAATATATAAAATATAAATAATTAAATATAATATACGAAATTTTATGTAATAATTAAATATATAAATAGTTAAATAATATAAATAGAAAGAGAAAGATAAAAGAAAATTTTATCTCCTCATAATTTCACAAAATGATGGTTAGAGGTTTCTGTTATTTCTTGTCCAAGCTCAAAAGCTCATAAATTTCTTTTGATAAATGAAATATGTTTTAACGGTGAGTTATAGAGAAAGAATTAAAGTAAAAATAAAGGGATAAAAGAGAAAAAGAAAGAGGAAGAAAGAATTGTGAAGAAATTTAAATTAAGGTAAACTTAAATAAGATTTATGAGGTTATTTTATTATTTTTTATTTATATTAATTTTAAAATAAAAAATTATTTTGAGGAAAACATTAAAAATATATAGTAAATAAATAATTCCCTAAATTTGGAAAAAATCTTTAAAAAATATATAATAGATAAAAAATTCTAAAAATTTGAGAGGGATCATTAATATATATAAAATAAAAAATTTTAAAAATTTATCATCTATTTTTATAAAACTAAAAATTTATTGTATTATTCATAATGAACTTATTTTAAAATAACATTAATGGATTTTTTGGAACTATTAAATTTATACTTTTATAATGCTTTTCAATTTGATTCTGTAAAGTTTTCAATAGTAAATACATAAATATAATAAGCAAAGGATAACAAATTTATATAAACAATATAATAATGCTAACATAATGATACAAAAGCATATATATATATTGTAAAACTCATGAAAATAATTCTTTTGTTGTTAATCTCAAATATAGACAAAATGTTGGGATGAAACTATGAGTGAAGAATAAAATTCTACTGATGAACAAAAATAGGAATAGAATGCGCGTGGGCGTGGATGTGGATGTGGATGTGGCTGTGGACGGCTGTTTGGTCTATAGTCATTGCGAATACTCAGACTTTTGACCAAACTTACTTATCCGAATGTAGTCAATCCATGGCAGCCAGTGGGGTCCACATAAAATCGTACGGTCAATAGGATTGGGTGATTCTTATGCCCTATCGCTAAGGCCAATTGGCTTGTAATTAAATTCCAACTTTGATTGGGAGTCTTTGGAATCACCCACTTTTTTTTTTGAGGATAATGTTATTTTGTCCCTACTATTGGATTACTCATAATAAGAATTTATTTTATCCTATTGTTTTTTTTTAAATATTGTTCATAATACGAATTTATAAAATTCCATACATTATATATAAAAATGTTAATTTCATATAAATATAAAATTATTCATGATATAATTATGTACTTCCAACTTATTCATAATAGTTTATTATCATGAACTGTTTTAATAGATTTATGTTCTCTTTATATTAAATTGGATGCCCTTCTTTGAAATTTGTACAGAGATTAAGAAAAATATTTTGATTTAAGTATTTTTTTATATTAGTTTTAACTTTTTTTATATGATATTGATGAATTATAGTTTTTGATACAGAAAAAGTAAAAAAAAATGTTAAAAGCAATATATATATGGAACATAAAAAAAAAGTAATTTTTTTGGGTGTTAAGAAAAAAGTGAAACTATTTAATTAATTAAACTATCTTCTGCTTAATGGTTTAGATTTTTGTGATATTAATGTAGTTAATTTAAAAATCTTATAGTATCTACATAAAGTGAGGTTAATTAAAGTATTAAGACTTGAAACACTGGACTTAGACCATTCTAGATCGGAAAATCTTACTCTAAGGGCTTATTCAAAATAAAGATTCATTATTTTTGAAGCATTGACATTGGGTTACATACTTATGTCACATTGTAGACCTAACTACTTAATAATCAAATCTAACCCATAATTTATAATTAGATTATGCAAATCCCCAAATGCAAAAATGTGATAGAAAAGACAACATGGTCTCTTCCTTTTTCTTGTTATAAGTCATCAAATGATTATATATATTTATAAATGAGTAGGCAAGAAAAACGAAACTTAAATGTTCCTCATGAAATAGGTAAAGATGGCCAAGCAAAAGGGGAATTAGAAGCTCCATGATGCAATTGAGACAATGAGACAAAGACAATTGAGAGTAGGACAAAACAAAAAGGCCCCAATTAAAACCTCTAGAAGCAGGATTAATATGAAGAAATTAATTTATATATCTGTTTTTTGGACTTTGAACACTATCGTGTCTGCGATTTGAACTGTTCAATTTCCACTAGTTTAGATATATGATGACATACAGCTTATAGTACAAGGACATGCTGGTCAATCACAACTTCTTCAAACAAACACAAAAATGAATGCAAATTCTTTTTCTTAATTTAAAGTAGTTTAGGGGTACACGTAATCGGAAAACTTTTGTGCATATATTTTATACAATGTAACAAAAATTTCCATAAACAACGAGAGAGGTTTAAAAGTTTCTATAAAAAGTGATTAAAAAATAATTATAAATATAATCACATTATATATATAATAATAAAAAAATTAATAATTGAAAGATGACAACCACCTCCTCAGTCATTGCCTTACTCTATCACTGTTCATAAATATTATAATTTCATGCAGGATATACCATTGGATCCGGCCAAATTGCATAAGAATAAATTTCAAAATAAAAGCTAGAAAAACTTTTATAACATTCCTCCTCTCAAAAGAAGAAAAGAAAGTAAGCAGTAGTTATCAAATGGGGTCTATTTGTTTTGTTTGAGTTTAATTATTCTCTACGAAGTGTCTACTTTCATGTACTGCTGATCACATGCTAAAGACTTTGATTTTTGAGAAGATATTGTTGGCTAGGTTAAATGACCATTCAACCTCATGCATGCTTTGATTTTGGAAAAATGAAATTTTGAATTTTAAATTTTTATAAATATTTTGTTAAGTGGTGTTCATGGTTAAGTTTTGAGTTTGATTTAATTATATATTTAAGGTAATTCTTTATTTATTATTAATTGATTTTAAGATGAATGTTTAATAACTTTCTTTAAGAGATAATACTTTAAAAAGTGCTGAATTATTAAAAAAAGTTAAATAAATTTTTATTATTTTTTTACATTAAATCAAAATTTTATTTTGAACTAAATAAATCATTGTTATTAACAATTAATTAACTATTGTTAGTCAAAATATCATTTATTATTTTATATCCACGTGATACTAATATGGTATTAACATAAACAATGAAAAATATTATATAACCATATTATCATGTCACTTCAATATATTACATTATCGTCTATTATAACATGTCAATGTGATACGTCAATATCATATAACATAATACGATAAGTAACATTTTAATTAATGATAATTAGTTAACTTTTAATTATAAACTTTTATTTGATTTAAAATAAAGATATATAAACTTAATTAAATATAATAAAAAATTAAGTAAAATTTTGTGAATAGTTTATACATTTTTTAAAAGTATTATACCTTTTCTTAAACCATCAACAACAAAACAAAAACATGGACAATCCAAAAAAAAGAACACTTTACTTTCTTGTCTAAAACTTAATAAAATAAAATAAAACCCTATTTATTTCTTAGAAGTTATCCTTTAATATAGTAATATTGGAGTAGTATAATTTGGAAGTCATAATGAGGTTCCCAATCTTTTTCCTTTATTGAGGATCTGGTTTTTGTTTGTAAAGCAATTTCACATTGCAGAATTTCAACAGTAGCGCTTTAATCAATTTGGAGTGAGTGAGTTTCCAATCCCACCTTGTAAAAGGCCCTTTTGACAATGATGAAACGGGTGCAAAAGTTTCGGTGGAAAAGGGTCCAGTTGTTGGTGGGTTTTCAACTGAAATCATAAAAACACGTGTCGGGCATGATGCTTAAGAAAATAAATATGTAATAATAATAGTAGTAATAATAATATAATGCTACTGTAATGCATGTGTCGGGAGGAAATCTTTGCTGACGAAAAGCTCCTGTCATTATTAAAGAGATAAATCAAAGTGCAAAATTATTCATTTATTATTTATTGACTCGTTAATTAAGTGAAAATATGAAATTCATGTTGTTAATCCATCGTATAAAGAGGGTAATTGTGGAAAAAATTATATAAGCGTTTTGTTTATTGGTCTTAGATTTCAACTGAAATTCTTAAAATTACATAATCTCGTTATTACAATATTTTTAACCTAATTACAATTGCTTTACATAGGACTGGCTTTAACGTTAAACTACCAAAGCCCTTACTTTAGACCTTATAATTTTATAGACTTCATGATTTTTTATAATATAATTAATTATATTAAATATATAAAAATTAAAATAATTAATAACATATTTATTTATTTTTACTTTTTATTAATTTTTAACTATTTATCTCACTTTCTCATTTATATAAAAATCAAAATAATTAATAAAATTACAAATTTTATCACTTTCTTAATTATGTGTATAATAGATATCTATTTTTTATCGCTTTTTAATTCTCATAATATTAACAATTCTCAATTATTTTTTCTATTTTCAATGAACCTAATATAATTTTAATAATCTTCAACTAATGATATATTTTTTAAAATTTTAATAAAAAATTCTCATTTAAATATTTAAGCACTTTAAGGATTTAAAAGTATTGAGCCACCCGTGACTTTACATAACACTTAATACATAATTTTCATCTAACAAAGGAGGAGAGTTAAGCCCGTGAATCAACGTAGAACAAAAGTTAAGGCCAACTTTTATTTGAGCCAAAACACATGTGAGAAGATTACTAATTAAAAGGAAAAAGGGAATGGGGCACAATGAGACTTACTCTTTTCCCGCCTCTCCCTCTCTCAATTGCATAACAAAAATTTTTATTCTTTCACATGGTAGATGCACATAACACTACCATGTTTTTGGAGTTGCTTAAATAAAGGTGAAATAGTATCAAAATCCTATACGAAGTGACAAAGATCATGAAAGTTTTTTTTTTAATAACTGGAAGAAGGAAGATTCAAATTTATTATTTAAATAAAAAGATCATGTACCAATTAATAAATTAAATATTCGAAATGTAAAATTATAAAAAATTTAAATCTTAAGAAATTAATATTTATTATAATGATTGTATAATTTATGAAAAAATTATCTGACATCTTAACATATATTTGGAGCTTCGGGATGGGAAGGAACTCATGAAAATCATCCCGAAAAAAAATCCTTAATTACTTTCCTGAGAAACCAATATTCCAAAAGTTATTTTTATTCTTCAAAATAGTGGAGCCAATGAGATGACAGGAAAGAAAGAGACGTATTAAGGATAGGAAAGTAAGGTATTTATACTTTGGTGCTTTGTTTTTTGATTTTGCAATAGATACCTGCAATATAAGGCTTGGCTTGACCATTGATGGCTTCAACAAAATTTAAAATCATGAGTTGCGTATATCATGGAAATACATGAAGTCTCTATACTTTCATGTATTTTTTCTTATCATCTTCAAATAACATTGGTGTTAATTTGCTTAAAAAATTAAAGAATATATGAAAGTTTTAAGCTACTATCTTTGATATTTCAATATAGCAAATTCTGTGTAACGACTATATATTAGAATCAGATTGAACATTTAATGATTGCTACAACTTTATCTCATGGATTGTTGTTTATATTTTTTGTTCATTCTGTTTTTCTAGTATTTATTGTTGTTGTTAAAGATTATATATATATATATATATATATGTATATTTGAGTCGCTTTTTTAGGTTTGTTAGTATGTTTAGATTATAGTTGATAATCTTATGCTCTCTTATTTTTTTTTCTGTTTTAGGATTAGCAAACTTGTGGGGAACTTATTAGCAGAGTCCTCTTGTTCACACGATATGAGTAGACAAACAAAAGTGATAATTAATTAACTTTAATACATTATGATATGCTTATGGAATCAATCAGTATGGATGAAAAGAGAGGCACATTAATTATGATCAAGGCAAGAAGTAACTTGAAAATGGAAAATAAGCTTGGATGTGAGTCTAGATACGATAGGTAACTTTTAGCTTCCTCAAAAAAGAACTTAACAAAAGAAAAAAAAGGAAAATTACAAAAATGATACTCAAGTTTGTAAAAATTATGCATTTGATCACTAACGTTTTTCTAAACTTCCAACATTCTTTAGTCACTGCCGTTACTCACTCGGGGGCCCAAGTCCGTCGCCAACAATGTGGTTTTTAAGGGTCCATTATGGTTGCATGAGATCGAACAAGACCACATACAAAGAAGCCCGCTCAGGCCACTACTTGGGCTACCAAAATGGAAAAACGAACTCTGGCCCGCCATCTATTTGTGGAAGCTTCGTCTGCAACTGGAATGGAAGAGCGTTCTGTTTATATTTTTTGTGTATCAGTTTAGTGCCTTTGTTAACTGATGGGTTAGAATAATGCGGTTTAGGGGCCTGTTTAGTGTTTGCAGAGGTTCATGGGATTTTAGGGAACGAATGATCATTCTGTGAGAGTTACCAGAAGATTACACGTATGTGTTAAAATATTTACTCTCTCAAGAAACGACGCCGTTTCAACAATCTAATTTGCGAAAGGCAAAAGTTTTGTTATGGACTACAAAGCGACGCTGCAATGATTTGAGAAGACACCCGAAACGAAACAGGGAAAATGGTGCACAACGCCTATGATTCCTTCGAGCTCCTCAATGATTGTCCTACTAAAATCGACGCCATCGAATCCTACGGCTCGAAGCTCCTCCTCGGCTGCTCCGATGGCTCCCTTCGAATCTACGGTCCAGATTCCTCTGGTGCCGACCGGTCTCCGCCGTCCGATCAGCACGCGCTGCGAAAGGAGCCCTACGCTCTGGAGAAAACCGTTGCAGGGTTTTCAAAGAAAGCTCTCCTTTCAATGCAAGTGTTGCAATCGAGAGAGCTACTCTTATCTCTCTCTGAGTCGATCGCTTTTCATCGGCTCCCGAACTTGGAAACCATTGCTGTGATCACCAAAGCTAAAGGCGCTAATGTCTATTCTTGGGACGACCGTCGAGGCTTCCTCTGCTTTGCTAGGCAAAAGAGAGTCTGTATTTTCAGGCACGATGGTAATTTCTTTGAATTTCTCCTTCAGTTTATCCCTTTCCTTTTACCAGTAAAACTCTAATGTTTCAAAAAAAATAAAAAATTCAAGGAAGCCAAAAGCAAAACTTGTGTTTTAACTTTGAATAAAAATCACATACTTAGATTTTTGAAAATTTTAAATACTATTTTTTATTTGGGAGAATAAATACATGATTTACTATTATATAGAATAATTAAATAAAATAACTGTGGCATTTGAATCAGTTGTTTATATTTTTTTAATTATGATTTCGATTTGTAGCAACTTTTTATTAATAAAAAAGCAAATAGCAAATGCAACAACTCTGCTGATTAAGTGTTATGATATGATCATTTTTTTTATTTGAGTTTTGTTAATTGGATAAATATTGCAGAATTAAGTGTTCTCCTCTGCTGACTGTTCAGTGGAATTGATTTAGGCTCTATTTGGTTGATGCATTTGTTTTTTGCTTTTCGCTTTTATTTTTTGCAAAAAATGAATAGGAATAAAAAAACAGAAAAAGAAAATCGACGACAAATAGCAAAATGCAAAAGCACCAATCAATCGGGGCCTTAATATTTAAAATGTTGTCTAGGAGGGCGAGGGTTTGTGGAGGTGAAAGATTTTGGTGTACCAGATACAGTGAAGTCAATGTCATGGTGTGGTGAGAACATATGTCTAGGTATTAGAAAGGAGTACATGATATTAAATGCCACGAATGGTGCATTGTCGGAGGTGTTTTCTTCCGGGAAGATAGCACCACCTTTGGTTGTTGCTCTTCCCTCTGGGGAACTTATACTTGGGAAGGTACTGACTTGCTGTAATAATTTATTTATGGCATTTCAGTTCTTTTGTTTAAGAGTAATAAGGAGTGCTGTTCCTGCCGTCTTAGGAAAATATTGGCGTCTTTGTGGATCAAAATGGAAAGCTTCTTCAAGCTGATAGGATTTGCTGGTCGGAAGCTCCTATTGTTGTTGTCATCGAGAAGCCATATGCAATAGCTCTGTTTGCAAGACGTGTTGAGGTAGTGTGATTCAATGCCAAAGAAGATTTGCTTTAGCCTATCATAAATTTATTTATGCATTTTCACTTATATATTCTTTACAGATTCGCTCTCTTCGAGTTCCATATCCATTGATACAGACGATTGTCCTCCAAAATGCTCGTCATCTTATAAAAAGTAACAATGCTGTAGTTGTAGCATTAAACAATTCTGTTTATGGGCTCTTCCCTGTTCCTCTTGGTGCACAGGTACTCCTAGTATGCTTAAGAAGTTTAATGCTGCCTATTATACATTTGTAGCTTTGGATCCAGATGCACAACCTTCTTTAAGCTTTCATATGAATCTTGATCCTTCTTTTTTGCCTGTTATTTATACTTTAGCATCATATTTTCCTTTTCTCTTGCAACTTTTTCATGCTTTTGACTATGACATGCTTATGCTAACTCTGAGGAAATGGTTGATTATTGCATTAAAAGGTTCCTACTTGCATTGCAGATTGTCCAATTAACTGCATCTGGAAATTTTGAGGAAGCATTGGCCTTGTGCAAGCTGCTTCCTCCAGAAGATGCAAGCCTTAGAGCTGCGAAGGAGGGGTCAATTCATATAAGGTAAAGTTTTCCCCATTTACAGCTATTACTTTGTGCAACTATATCAAGTTAATTGGCTTATATCATGTTTAATAAGAATCAATGAATTAGTCAGAGTGCTGATTTAATGTTTAATATGACACAGCATCAGTGTAGACCTTTTAGAAAACTTTGCATTTGGTCATACTCCTTACCGGATATTATGAAAAACACCGCATATAGAACATCTGGACTTAAAATACTTGAAAACCTTCTTTCCCTGGTATATGATCGTACTTTCTACAGGTTATTCAGGCTTGTTGTGTGTTTCTCAAATGATTTATCCTGGTTAAATAGTTGTTTCACCTTGTTGCAGATATGCTCATTATCTTTTTGACAATGCGTGCTATGAGGAGGCAATGGAGCACTTTTTGGCATCTCAAGTAGATATTACCTATGTGCTTTCTTTGTATCCGTCCATTGTTCTTCCCAAAACAACTGCAATTCCAGAGCCCGAGAAGTTAATGGACCTTTCTCTGGATGCTTCACAACTTTCAAGAGGATCATCTGGTCTGTCAGATGATCTGGAAACCTTGCTTCCACAACTATCAGAATCTGACGAGAATGCAGCACTTGAGTTCAAGAAAATGAGCCACAATACTCTCATGGCTCTCATTAAGTTCCTACAGAAGAAGAGATACAGTATTGTAGAGAAGGCTGCTGCTGAGGGAACAGAAGAGGTAGTTTTAGATGCTGTTGGAGATAATTTTAGTTCGACTAGGTTTAAGAAGTCAAACAAGGTGAGGCTAATTTCAATTTTTGTAACTGTCAACAATGTTTGTCAGAGCGAAGCATATTTTGTGATTCTATGTTAGCTTGCACATAGTTGATTGAAAATTATGCAGAAGTGCATAGTTGGACATAAACCAGCTAAAATCTTCGTACATTCAATCCCAATATATTGATTGCAAATTCTGCAATTACGTCAGTTAATATTCAAGTTCGTTTCATATTTTTCAAAATTTATATAAGCTTTCTTTTTCAATGATCTAACATTATGTTTGGTTCCTTAGGGGCGTGGTACCATTCCGGTTAACTCAGCTGCTAGGGAGATGGCAGCAATACTAGATACAGCCCTCCTCCAAGCTCTGCTTCTTACTGGACAATCTTCAGCAGCTTTGGAATTGCTGAAAGGTCTTAATTACTGTGATGTAAAAATATGTGAGGAGATTCTTCAAAAAGGGAATCATTATGCTGCTTTGTTAGAACTTTATAGAAGTAACTCAATGCACCGTGAAGCTCTGATACTTCTAAATCGATTAGTAGAAGAGTCAAAATCAAACCAATTGCAAGCTGAGCTCATCCAAAAGTTCAGTCCTGAGGCAATTATTGAATATCTGAAGGTCAGGTTATCAGTTAGTGGGAAACCTTTTTGGTTTTATTGCACTTAAGTATTTTAACCATTGGGCTTTCTGGGTAATCTGTGTCATATGGAATGTGGAAGATAATGTTATATTTTATGGAGGAGGCTATGTGAAGTTTTCCCCCTGAATAATATGAGAAGATAATGTTAATTTTTTTATAGCTTGACCTTAAGGCCCCATATTCCCTTAGCATGCTGTATAGATATTGCTTTTAATTTAATGCAATGTTTATTCCATGGGCTCTAGAAGATGCTGTGCTTGAACTTCTATATGCTGAATAGTTTGTCTGGTTTTGTTTGCAGCCTCTTTGTGGCACCGATCCCATGCTTGTCCTTGAGTTCTCAATGCTTGTTCTTGAAAGCTGTCCAACACAAACCATTGAGCTTTTTTTGTCTGGAAATATTCCAGCAGACTTGGTCAACTCTTATCTGAAGCAACATGCTCCAAACATGCAAACCAGGTACTTGGAACTTATGCTTGCGATGAATGAAAATGGGATCTCAGGGAACCTGCAAAATGAAATGGTAAAGACTCGTATTTTTTGTTATCGAAATAACTGTCAGTCGTCATTGAAGCTAGTGGAGTTCTTGTAGATGCCACTTGTGTTGGTGATAATGCAGCTTATATTACAAGCAATGACTATTGTAGGTACAAATCTATCTCGCAGAAGTACTTGAATGGTATTCAGAACTAAGTGCTCAACAGATATGGGATGAGAAGGCTTATTCTCCAACTAGGAAGAAATTATTGTCTGCATTGGAAAGCATCTCAGGATACAATCCAGAGGCTTTGTTGAGACGTCTTCCTCCAGATGCTTTATTCGAAGAGCGTGCTATTTTGTTAGGAAAAATGAACCAACATGAGCTTGCATTATCACTATATGTTCATAAGGTAGTTTTTGACCTAATCATCCAGTTTTTTCCTCTAAAGAAAGATAATTAATCAAAAAAGCTAAAAGATGTTGAACCTTTACTTAATAGATAAAGCTGAAAGTAACATGCTTATGTTTGTTAAAAAAGTTGCATAGATATTAGTTCATTCAAAATTCCTTTTTTTTTTTTTTACATTTTTGTCAAAAACAAATACTATATTAGGATTGTTTAGTCTGTTCTTTTTCCTTTTCTCTCCCTTCCCCCCATTTTTCTTCTTAAATTTCTTGTTCTTTTTACAAATATGCTCCTAGTAATTTAATTCCTCTTGACCTTTATAGCTTCATGTACCTGAACTGGCCCTGGCCTATTGTGATCGGGTTTACGAGTCTGTGGTTCATCAACCATTGGTTAAATCTTCTAGTAATATATACCTCACTCTTTTACAAATCTATCTGAATCCTCAAAGAACAACCAAGAACTTTGAAAAGAGAATTACAAATTTGGTATCATCCCCAAATGCAAGCATCCCAAAGTTTGGTTCAGCGGCTTCAATTAAAGCTAAAGGAGGACGTAAGAAAATTGCCGCAATAGAAGGTGCAGAGGATATGCGTATTAGTCCCAGTAACACCGATAGTGGTAGGAGCGACGGTGATGCTGAAGAATCTAGTGAGGAAGGAAGTTCTACTATTATGCTTGATCAGGTATTTGATCTTTTGAGCCGAAGGTGGGATAGAATCAATGGAGCTCAGGCACTCAAACTCTTACCGAGGGAGACTAAACTACAGGTATTTCCTAAAATCTTGAATTGCTTACAAAGGTCCTGAACCATTTGCATCTGAGCTTATATAATCATTAATATCTAAGTTGTTAGGTTTCCTTTTGGGCATAACATTGTCAATTGTAAGCTCTTTCCTGAAGGTATTTGTCTTTTACCTGCAGAACTTGCTTCCATTTCTGGGACCTCTTTTGAAAAAATCCAGTGAAGCATACAGGAACTTCTCTGTTATCAAGAGCTTGAGGCAGAGTGAGAACCTACAGGTATGTAAATTGTTTTACTTAACCAAAAAAAGTTTAGCACATAAAATGACTTATCACACGAGATTTTCCTGTTAGCATATTCAATATATATTTTCATGAACATCGCTGGTTCCTCAAAGAATACTTTTTTTGGTTTTCGTTCATCCAAGCATTTGCTGAAATCATATGTGAAACAGGTGAAAGATGAACTCTACAACCAAAGAAAAGCTGTGTTGAAGATCTCTAGTGATAGTTTGTGCTCTCTCTGCAACAAGAAAATAGGAACAAGCGTATTTGCTGTCTATCCAAACGGGAAAACGCTGGTGCACTTTGTTTGCTTTAGAGATTCGCAAAGTATGAAAGCAGTAGCCAAAGGCTCACCGCTAAAGAAGCGATGAGGACAAGCAGTGCTTTTCACATAATTCGGGGCCAGCAATACAGCAGTGGAAGTTGAAATGGGCTTCAATGGCGACACTGCAACGCGAATGGGAGTATGTCCGATATTTGATTGAGAATCACCCTATATTGTTTTGTGGATTTGTGTGAGTGTGGAATCTGGGAGACTCTTCTCTTTCTTTATTGTAGTAACTCCTCATTCTGGGTTACTCCGGATTTATCAAAACGAGTCTTGTAACTTTTGCTGTAAAAAAAAAAAAATTAATGTATCGCATTTGTGTAAAAATGGTGGGCATTAGATTTCACGGCGGAAGTGCTTTATCTTGGTCGTATTTTATGGCCCCCAGCCCAGTTTTCCCGTTATAGCTGTTGGAGCGTGGACAATGATCTCTAGTACTGTAGGTGAAACATTTGAACTCTAAAATGAAATGATAAAAAAGACCACTAATTCCATGAACTTTCTCCTCAATTTTTGGCCAATTCGACAACCAACGGCCACAAAAGTAGAAGCTATTAACATTTGGCTTAGCTCATTCAATTCCTAGCCATAAGCGATAACTCTAGTTCATGTTTAGTCTCAACATCAAAAGCCAGACACAGCCCAATGCCCACCTCCTAAAATGAGCCATAACGGGAAACTTTCTTTTCCCTTCATTCAACAGAAAATGCAGCGTTTGGATCAAAGGCTCGAAAAGATCAGGATAAACCAGCATCAAAAGCCAAAGCAAGGTCAAATTCTCGTCAATCTTAGATTGGAGGATTTTCAACGCAATAAGAAAATTAAAAAAAAAAAAACTGACAAATTTTAGGTAACAGAGAGTAAGAAACAGGGACGGTTTAACGGTACGTGTGTATAGTTTATTGAAGTACAACATTTTTGTGTTGCAATGTTGGTGTGACGAAGGGGAAAAGGTTTAGTTAGTTTCATAGTTGTAGTAATTTTTATTTAGGAGGCATTGATTTACACTGCTCTGTTAAATATGTTTGGATTGTAGGTTTCAAAGTCTAAGAGCTCCTTTTGTGACAATGAAAGGAGAGGTGCTAGACAATTATCCTTCATAATTTTGGATCTATATGTTCCTAAACTCTGCATAACTTTGCTTTTAGATTAAACTTGATTATCCACTATTCTCGTGCTTTCTTTGTCTCTCTATTCTTGAATGGATTTTTGATTGGGTTGATATGAATTTCTTTTGTTTATGTGCAGGTGTGGATATTGACATCAAATTGCTGACAGTAGTTGGGAAGAGGTTGAAGGTCACTATTAGGATACTGGTATAAACTATGAGCTTCTACTAAGACTGGCCACAGTCAGTCCATCTCCAACAATGTCTTTTAAGGGCCTATCATTATAGCTAGTAACAGTTAAAGCGGGATTGGACCAGATCAGATACAAAGAAGCCTGCTCAGCCCACCACTTGGGCTACCAAAATGCAAGAAAGCTCTTGCACGCCACCTGTCTGTTGAAATGTTTTTCCTTCAACCAACTTTGTCTGGAATGGAAGAGCATTCTGTTCTATTCTGTGTATCAGTTTAGTGTTTTTAAACTGATGGGTACTTGTTCGCCTTTGAAGCTTTGTCAGAATAATGCGGTTTAGGGGCTTGTTTAGTTTTTGCAGAGGGAAGTTACTGAAATTTTCCCTTCTTCAAACAATGAACTTCACACCACTCATTCATAAGGGTATCCTTTTACTGCTTTGCACTTTATTTTGTTTAGAGTTTGATATAGTGTAATGAGTTTAGTCTAGCATTGCAGATGAATGTTTGATTTTTCTTCCCATGTAGCTTTGAATTCGTGGGATTTTATGGAATGGATGATCTTCAATAAGCCCATCCATCTTTCCTATGATGTAAATTCAGTTTATTTTCTAAAAGGAAGTTTGGGTATATATTTGTGAGATTGACTTCAGAAAGTTATACATTGTATCAGGAAAACCTGTCGAGAAACTTCATGCTTGGATGTGTTGTTCTAGTTTTTCAACCAATGGTGACTTAAAAAAGGTCCATGAGAAGATGATGTTGGCAAAGGACTTGGCATGTCTTGTTGAGGAATCGTCTAATCAAGATGAGAGAAAAGCCAAGAGCAGAATGGAGCTCAAGAGGTCTCTTGAACTTCGCATAAAGAAGAGAGTAAAGGAGCAATATTTAAATGGGAAGTTTCACAACCTAATGGCCAAAGTGATTGCCAATCCGGCTACACTTCAAGATGCCTATAATTGCATTAGGCTCAACTCAAATGTTGACATATCAGTGAAGGATGATTCTGTTTGTTTTAAGTCCCTGGCTGAGGAGCTCCTTGAGGGGAGTTTTGATGTCAAAGCAAACACCTTCTCTGTCTCAACAAGAGGTGCAAGCAAAGAAGTCCTTGTCCTTCCAAATCTGAAGATGAGAATTGTTCAAGAAGCTATCAGAATAGTTCTAGAAGTTGTTTACAAGCCCCATTTTTCTAAAATTTCACATGGCTGTCGAAGTGGGAGGGATCACTCCACTGCATTGAGATACATCAGCAAAGAGATTGCTTCTCCAAGTTGGTGGTTTACATTAGTTTTAAACAAAAAGGTTGATTCTAGCATCCTTGCTAAGCTCATTTCAAAATTGGAGGACAAGGTAGAAGACAACCAGTTACTTGGTACTATCCAGAGCATGTTTGATGGACAGGCACTTAATTTTGAGTTTGGAGGTTTCCCAAAAGGCCATGGTCTTCCACAAGAGGGAGTGTTATCCCCAATATTAATGAACATATATCTTCACCTCTTCGATCAAGAATTTTACAGATTGTCCATGACATATGAAGCTCTTCATCCAGGCTTTGATAAGGATGAAGATATGTCATATTCCAAGTTGCGCAACTGGTTTAGGAGACAGTTAAAAGAAAATGATGCTAAGTACACAGATAATGATGATTCTAGCCCAAGAGTACATTGTTGCCGGTTCATGGATGAGATATTTTTTGCAATTTCTGGTTCCAAAGATGTCGCTCTTAGTTTCAAGTCTGAGGTTGTAGATTTCTTTAAGAATTCTTTGGAATTGGATGTTGATGATGAGCAAACAGAAATTCTACCATGTAATGAGTCTAATGGGATTCGTTTTTTGGGAGCTTTGGTTAGAAGAAGTGTGCAAGAAGGTCCTGCTACAAGGGCTGTGCACAAGTTAAAGGAAAAAGTGAAGTTGTTTGCTTCACAGAAACAACATGCTTGGAATGCTGGGACTGTTGGAATTGGGAGGAAATGGTTGGCTCATGGTTTAAAGAAGGTTAAGGAGTCAGAAATTGAGCATTTAGCTGATAGTGGCTCTACTTTGAGCAAAATTTCTTGTTTCCGTAAAGCTGGGATGGAAACTGATCATTGGTACAAGGTCTTAACTAAAATATGGATGCAAGACATTAAAGCCAAAGCAGCAGAAAATGAGGAATCTATCTTGTCTAAGTATGTTGTAGAACCAGCCCTTCCTCAAGAACTGAAGGAATCTTATTATGAATTTTTGAAGCGTGCAAATGAATATGTTTATTCTGAAACAGTTGCAACCCTTGCTCTTTTACCAAATTCAAGCGCAAACACTGGCTCTGTCGCTATCACCGAGATTGTTGCTCCAGTCAATGCCATAAAGAAGCGTCTCTTACGATATGGATTGACTTCCTCTGAAGGATATCCTCGTGTGGTTTCACTGCTTGTCTTACAAGATAACTTCCAAATTATTGACTGGTTTTCAGGAATTGTTTGCCGATGGCTTAGATGGTACCGTGAGTGTGACAACTTCAATGAGATCAAGCTTATAATTTCTACTATACTAAGGAAATCGTGCATTCGTACTCTAGCAGCAAAATATAGGATTCATGAAAGTGAAATAGAGAAACAATTTGATTCAGAACTATGCAGAATCCCCTCGACAGAAGAGGTGGAGCAAGAGCCGACATATGAGACATCAGATTCTCACTCTTTTGATAGTGATGAGGCCTTGATGTATGGAATTTCTTATAGTGGTTTGTGTCTGCTATCTCTGGCAAGAATGGTGAGCCAGTCAAGGGCTTGCAATTGCTTTGTTATGGGGTGCTCAATGGCAGCACCGAGTGTTTATACTCTGCATGCTATGGAAAGACAGAAATTTCCAGGCTGGAAGACAGGGTTCTCAAGTTGTATTCATCCAAGCTTGAATAAACGGCGAATCGGATTGTGTAAGAAGCATTTAAAGGACTTATATCTTGGTCATATATCACTTCAATCCATTAATTTTGGTGCATGGAAGTGACGTCTTTCAACAAATTTGTAGTGTCATTTAAACTGCAGAAATACTGAACTCCTGACCTTGTATTTGCTGTGGACTCTACAGAGTATGAAAGCTATTGTGAACATTCTAATTAAGCTAATGATGTTATAGGCTGGTCAATTTTAAGGTATGTACGTGAGAACATATAAAATTTATTCCATTTGTTCAGCTAATTACATGAAGAAAATGTGGAAATCTTTCTAAGTAATTTATAAGCTTAGTATTATCATTACAAAGTCATAGAATATGATTAATGGTAGCTTTAGCTTTGTTAAAAAGATCACAAACTTTTTTAACATTTTGAATTTTGGTATAAATCATATGATGGACATTATGGGCATACTTTTGTGATGAAAATGATTTGAAGATGTTTTCAACTCTGTGATTATATTATTTTTGTAGCCAAGCTGTGCCAAGTGATGGAATAATCGAGACTATAGAATTTGCTAATACCATAATATACGAATTGATAATTCTGATCATTTTGGTCTTTCACCCTTCTTGGCATCCCTGAAGCAAATTATGTTTCTAAACATTTTGCATTACGTAGTGTATGTTTGTCATGGTCTTCCCGCTGCAGTTTTTGAACTACAGTCAACAGTCTAAAATCTTTTATTGGGCTTCAGGACTTTTTTAGATTGCAAAGTCATTTGAACTATATAATCTTTTTAGCAGTTTGGCTTTCTAGTGAATGGATTTCTCAATGGTTCTTTACTTCAAATCTCAACGTTGAAGACTCTTCACGGCATTCCAGTTTATCATTAATAAAAACTCATCTTTTAAAAGAAAAAATTATAGTAATCCAATTACTCACAGCTATTTAGTTTTCTAAGATATTTCTTAGAAAGGTGCATGTAAAACAGTCTATTAAATTATTATAATCCAATTACTCAGAGCTATTTAGTTTTCTAAGATATTTCTTAGAAAGGTGCATACATCCTGTATACTTAAGGAAGTAAATCTTTATACAGTTTAGTCTAATTTTAATCTACATTAAAACTTGTTTTGAGAGGCTAGTTATACTTCTCTTTTTGATCATAATTTGAAATTTTGTGAAGCACTTTTGTTAGTGAAAATTGTTAAGAAACTTAATCACCAATACTTGATAAAGTCACATTTTGTGCAGTTACTAATTACTTGGAGCTCGGATATAAATTTGCATGCTTCTGTGTGTCTGTACATGTGTGGCTCACATCTGAACTAACCATGGTGAAAGTACAAAATGAAGCAAATAAAGCAAGTTTAGGTATGTTAAGGTGCGTAAGTCCCTTGTAGCAGAATTGAAAAGCCTGGTGTTGCAGGGTGCTGTATCATAGTACAATACTACAATTCATATGGCATGGCATTTTGTATATTACTTCGTATAATTACAGTGACATCATGATTGAACTTTCTTGGGAGGAAAGCAGGCTATGGTTCTATGGATTTTGTAACGTAGGTTTGAACATTAATCTCTCACATTGTACATGTGCTAATGAAAGCTAGGTATCATAATGGTAAGAAGAGTATCAAAAGAAACCTTTCAAAAAGGGATACGCTGTTAAATAAATCCTTGAAGCTGTTTTCTTGTAAATCATGACTCAATGCAAAGTTCCTTCCCCCAGCCTAACGAACAAGACAATGTGAATGGTTATGCATTCTTGCTTTTCCATGCGTGCCGCTTGCATTGGTGCTATAGTTTTAAAGGAGAACTGTTTAAGGATTTGATGGTGCTTATTATTATTTTGCTTTAACAATATATCTTATTGGTTTATCTATTTTAATTGAAAGATCAATTCTTTGGTGGCAGATTACCTTGCTATGATTTATAGAATTCTAGTCATTCTGTTATTAATCTTTGCCCCAATGATATTGCTCAAAATTTGAATGGTATTGATTAGATTTGGGACAAGAAAATCAATAAACTGCTCAATTTTTGCACTTTGGATAGGGATGCTTTTTACTCTCTAGATCTTTGATTACATCTCTTCCCCTCCTCTTTGCCAGCATTTTTTTCTATTTAGATTCGGGTTATAAATCTTGTATGCTAATTGCTTGCTTTTGCTCAGGTATCTTCTGTAAGCTGGGAAATATGTCATGCATCTTGCATCTCATTCACTAAACATGATTAACCATAATAGTGCAACATTAAGAGGACTTGCAGTTTGGTTTGCTTGATCTGCTGTGTGCAAAACCTCTAATGATTGCAAAGTGGAGTTGTGCAGAATTTCTTTCAACAGTTCCAAAAGCAGTCAACCATGATCACTGCCTTAGAATGATAGTTGCTCATGTATTTAGGGTTATTGATCATTATAAGTATCAGGTGGTGAGAATGAAAAGAATGCAAATGCATTTTTCGATTCTACTGGTAGAATGCTGTGGATGGATCTAATAATAGCTGCTTCTGTCTTAGTTATACTTTTCTTTTTTCTCTCTTGTTCCATGCTCTTTTTCTGATTTTTTTCTTTTCTTGAGAATTCATGGACCCTTGGTCAAACATAATAAAAAATTTGGTGCTTCAATGGCTGAGAGAAGGCAAGTTGCTTTAACCTTGATTTAACAGATATATTCATGTTTCTCAATGCAATTTCTGAGCTTTTTCTTTCTGACTATTCCTTGTCCATTTTACTACCAATGATGAGAATATGATCACCTGGTTGGAGAAAAAAGGGCATTATTATTATTATTATTATGATGATGATGATGATGACAACGATGATGGTGAACTGATGTCACTATGAAGACTCAAATACCTAATTTACTCGGAAAACTCATGATTTACAAACACTTTGGAACATTACAGATATATTCATGATACTCAATGCAATTTCTGAGCTTTTTCTATCTGAATATTCCTTGTCCATTTTACTATCAATGATGAGAATATGATCACCTGGTTGGAGAAAAGAGGGCATTATTATTATTATTATTATTATGATCATGAACTGATGTCACTATGAAAACTAAAATACATAATTTACTCGGAAAACTCATGATTTACAAACAATTTGGAACATTTAACTAAAAGAGTGTATTTGAATTGTCAGCCACGTATTTCTATTTCTAATGTACATGGACAAAATGAATGAAACCTGTAACCAGAATTCTAGATAGTGGTGGAAAGAAAGTGAAAAAAAAATTAAGGGCGGTAATAGCATGTGTTGTGGTTTGAGTTCGTTTTCTTATAGTCAGATCAGTGTTCTTCAGTGGCACCACCACCGTTGTTTATTTTTACTAGTCAAAAACAGCCGGTCCCCTTGGTGGAGCTGGCCGGTTCATAGGGTCGTCATCCGCCTGAAGTGGGCTGTCTGGTGTTCCGATTGATTCAAGAGGCAATACACCGACATACTGTTGGATCACCAGCACAGAGACTGTTGATGCAAAATCTGAAGAAGCTAAAATATCTCCAATTGCGCCAAGCTCTGGACACTCACTCCAGTCAGTAAGTCCAGTTGTGAGTGGCGACATCATTCCTTGTCCTCTCCCAACGATGAACAAGTCGTGGCTGCTGTCTAATGTCCTTATTGCTGCAACCGTTTCCTCTCCATTGTTGACCACTTTCTCAGTGTATGTAACGGACTCATCATTTGCAATCTTGATCCTGAAATCATTTATACATTCGTCATCGAGCTGCTTTTCCTTACTGTTGTCTGTTTCCACTGTTAATATCCTTGGGTCATTTTGATCACTAGTAGGCTGCATTGTAGACTCAACTGCATCCTCACCTGGAACAAATCGTAGCACAGTAAGTCTAGTCCCTGGATGTTCACTCATTCTCCATGCATATGCAAGTGCTTCCCTGTCATCTGGTCCCCCCAAAAATAGCACAGCTATACGGTGAGACATTTCGTTTGCTGCCAAGCGCGATGACCCACTTAGGCCTCTGTCGACTAGAATTCCCACGGAGCAAGGTGCATTTGCAAGTAAATTCTGGTTAACCATTCGAAATGCTGGGTTTGTAGCTTCCATCCCTCCGTCAACTGTTTGTTGCTTATGGAAAGGGATGATTACGAGGGCAACACGTTTGTCCTCAGCCAAGCTACAAATATCTTCATGCATGGAGGAGTAAGGGGAAATGGCTGTGAGGGGCTGAACGGAGACACAGCCTGCATGTTGCTCGAAATTTTCAAAGGCATTGATTATGTGGTCGGATTGAGCTTGAGTTCTGTTTAAGGCCGGGCGACCAGATTTGCGGGTATTGTGGACAATGAGCATGGCAGATGCACGGCCAGTGAGTTCAACAAGATGGAGTACATAAATGCATATTGGAGATTTTTTGGTGGGATGAGAGGCTTCAAGCAGGTTGATCATTGTTGGGACATTACGAGGGGTGTGGATGCACACTAGCATTCGTAGCTCTCCATCTGGTTTTGATTTTTGAATCGTTCGACGTTTGTACGGTACAAACCTCCTTGATGGCCTGTAAATGGTTGCCACAATGGGTGAGATGATCCCAGTCATAACCACCGCTACAACTACCATGATCGCAAACGACTCGTCATCTAGGACCTGCGAATCAGTGTGTTTCATTTTATGTTTTTTCCTTCTCAATAACCAATCACAGGGAGAGTGGGGAGTAGTGGTTGCAGTGGGAGTTAATGGGAAGGGAAAGTACCTTCTGATCTTTGCCAACGTTGAGAACAATCATTTCAATGAGGCCTTTGGTGTTCATGAGTAAGCCAAGTGTAAATCCTTCACTAAGGGGCATCTGGTAGAAGGTTGTGACAAGAAGAGTTCCTGCTATCTTGCCAGCACAGGAAAGGAAGATAACGAAGGCTAAGACTCCCCAGGTTCGACCTCCTTTGATAGCAGCTATGTCAGTCTTGAGACCGCTAATAGCAAAGAAGAGAGGGAGTAGAAGCCCTGATACAAAGTCCTCCAGCTTTTCTATAAGAGTAACTCCAAGGGGTCCATTGGGAATAATCAGACCAAAAACAAAAGCTCCAAATACAGAATGTGTCCCAATGGCATCTGTAATGAATCCCGAGATCATAACCCCAGTCAGAATGAGACATATATAAAACTCGCTGAAGGATTCTCCTTCAGGGGTTCTGCGAATTATCCATGTAATTGCTGGCCTGACAACAAAAATGCAGAAAACGACAAAAGCTACACTGGAAAGAATCACCCAGAATGAAGCTAAGGAGGAAGAGTCATTCTCTGCCAAGGCAATGGCTATAGCCAAGAGAACCCAAGCGCACATGTCATTGATAAGAGCAGAAGACATGGCCATTCTGCCAAGTTCTGAATTAATGAGTTTCAGATCTGCAAGGATTCGAGCAAGCACTGGAAATGCTGTGACCGAGAGAGCAACACCAAGGAAGAGGATGAACGTGCCTTGACCCAGGGCTTCTGAATCCTGATCGCGGAGAATGAATGTGAAACAAGCGCCAATTAAGAAGGGCAAGACCATACCGGAAACAGCAATGGCCAGAGCCTTTTTGCCCGTCCGACGAATCACTGAAAGGTCCATCTCTACACCAACTAGGAAGAGGAAGTAAAGAAGACCAACATTTGCCATCGTTTCAAGCACCATCACACTCCTCAAGGGAAATAATGTGTTGGCAAATCCTTGGCTCCGTCCTAGCACAGATGGACCTAATAATATTCCTCCCTATTAAACGTTGAAACCACCCATTACTACTCTTTGCAATTAAGTTATAGCAATTCATAAAGAGTACGTGGGAAGAAAAATGCACCACATTTCATTATTTGTCACCCTCTTGAAACATTTTACTTCACTACGTTGCATGATGAACTTGATTTGCCAACATATAAATTAATGAGTTTTATATATATATGGGGATGTTTCACATAATTTTTATGTGGGAAAACAGCTCCTCGCTTAAACATCATTTAACTTACAAGAATCTCAGAAATCACTCGTGGTTGGCGAAGGGGTTTGAGGATGAAGACAAGGGTGCGAGTGGAGACAACGACCAGCGTCAACTGCAAGATGAAGAGAGGAAGCGAATAATCCAAAGGGTTGTCGCCTTGCCATACACCATTCGTAGTTATCATGGTTGGTGCATAGCAAACTATTGTATCCTCTGACTTGTTCGCCACTGTATCTACCGCGTCCATTTTTGCCTTTCGTTTCAAACACCGCCGCCACTGCCGCGCTCACCGCCTCCTCGATCATCAATCACCACCGCCTCTTCCACTCTGTAAACCCGCACTTTTTTTCTTTAAAAAAGTATTACTTATTTTGTACTACAACATTCGTGACCAAATGTTTTTGTTGTTCTTGTTGGTTAATTGCAAAGAAGAAAGAAGGTTGGGGAAGAGGAGGTAAAATTAGGTTCGTTTTGGTGGTTGCCCGTCCCAATTGGTAGCTCGCTATCTTCAATGGTGTAGAAGCCATGGAGAGCCCTCTATTTTAAGAACGTCTGTGATTTTGTACATGACAATGTGTCCCTCACTAAGTAACCCAACAAATCAGTGAAAACCTGCCAACTTTGAGATACAAAATAAATATACATAATAATAATAAATCATCTTCCATTTTAAATATTTTGAGTTCTTCAAATTCATTATATATATATATATATATGAAGAAAAGAAAACCAAATCATCCAATAACAATTTTAAATTATATAAGTATACTTCTCAAGTTAAAATTAAAATCAATAAATGGTTTGTACAACTTTTTACAAATACATATAAGAACTTGTACAATTAGTTAGCATTAACCATAATCAAACTCGATTCTCTAATAATTTTACCATGTTCAAATTAATTCAATTAAATAATAATAATAATAATATTTACACATATGTGTAAGTAACAAAAAATATTTTTTGATATATTACAATTATATTGAAGTATTAAATAAAATAAAAATTGGTATTTAAAATTGTAACTAAAATAAAAACTTAGTGAAATAATTACTAATTATTTACATATTAATATAAAATTAATATAATTACTTAGTAATATATTTCACGCACTTATAAGTAACAAATTGTATTTTTAATATATTACAATAGTATTTATATACTTAGTTATGAATATATTAATTTAATTTATTCCCTTAAATAACTGTGAATATATTAAAATTCAATAAATTACTAATTTATTCAATAATAAGTTACATAGTAATTTATTTATTTATTTATATAATTATTTAATTGTTATGTTATTTTTTGTCTTTATTTATTGCATTAAATTTTTTTGAACTAATACTAAGTTTTAAAAACCTAAAATCAATAATAATAATAAAAAAAGAAACTTAGAGCTTGGGCTTAGGTTTTTAGGGCCTTACAGCCTAGCCATCATTAAGACCTAAAGTTAGCTTTTTGTGGTACAATTTTGATCATACAATTAACACTTTATTTTGATGTACATGAATTTTTTTAAAAATAAATATAATTTTGACTGCACAATAAATAATATAAGATTTAAGCTCTAGATTTTTTAAGTTGGAGTCCTAAATTGTAAAAAAAACACTATTGCTATAATCAAATTAATCCTCACCTAATGTTACGGAAATGATCAAATTTTTTTAAAATGTTTAAATAAATAATTTTTTATTTTTAAAAATTTTTAAATAAAAAATAAAATAAAACTTTAAAATCATTTATGGCAAATTTGCATTTTGAATTTTAAAAAAATCTATTAAATAAAAAAAATTTAATTTATAAACTCAAAAATCACAGCAAGGGAGACTACATGGACCCTCCATGCCACCACCATCTCCGAAGCAGCCACTAACCAAGCCTACCCCGGCTTCTCCAAAAGCAAAGGACGCCTCATTTTGCTGGATGTGCCACTCATCAATCTATCCTTGACATGATCATCATAGGCACTTTCCCTATAAGACCAATTTGGGTTCTGCTGATTTTCAATTCCTTTTAACCTTGTTCATGATGGAGGGAGAGATTCCGTTGTTTTTAGAATTCCTAGTCTCGTCTATTGGAGCATTTCGAAGCTCATACCAAACATGGCGATCGCATTCTAAATTTCTAATCAGATTTACTTCAACTTTATTTATGGCTCCACCCATCTGTTAGAATTTGTGTTTCTATCTTGGTAATGTTCTACGCTGAAACGACACTTCACCACCGTCCATGGGTGAAAAAATGATTAAATGTTATTAAACAAAGAATTTGGTGTTGACTTGAGGGAGCAACCAAAAGCCAAGCGTCATCGACCAATCAATTTCCTGTGGGTCATAAAACATGGGCGCACCCAGCTATATCAGAGTTGTCTCGCATGACACCGCTATATTGTTAAAAATTTTACATAATTAATAATAGTGAGAAATTTATTAATTTTTTTTATAATTTTATAAAGAGTGGAGACAAATTTTTTTTGATTAAAATAAATTTATATATTAATATTAAATATTAAAAATAAAAAATTATAATTTAAAAATTTATTAAAAGAGTCCAAATTTAAATTACATTCTTTTTATTCAAAAATTCAAATATTACTTTTGAGATTTACATTGAGATATTGAGATTTTTCTTCTTAATTTTTGATTACATTTTTAAATAATTTTCAACTCAAATCAAGTTTTTAAATTATTTATGTATAAATATTTTTTTATTAATTTAATAATTTAAGACTCGAATAAATTTTTTAATAAAAAATAATATTACATGTTAACTAATATTTTAAAAATATAATTTTTATTTTATAATATTATTTAATTATTTAATTTTTATATTTAATCTTATGTGGTAATACTTATACTTAGTTTTAATCAATGAATAAAAATTTATCAATTTATTATTTGTTGTATATGTTAATAAAAAATAAGTAATATTTTTTAACAAATTTTTATATAAATAAGTTATAAAAAATATTTTAAAATATAAAAAAATTATCTCATAAAATTTAAATTATAAACAACAACGATATAATACTATTAATGATCATACTCAATAATTTTTTAAATAAAATTATATTAAAATTATTTAAATATTCTTTTAACATATTTTAAATTAAATTTTCTCTTTAATTATTATTATTATAATACCATTCAAAAAAAATTTTCTACCTTTGTCTCCTTCAATCCATCACTCAAGAGCACGTGAAATGCCAGGAATTTCAATCCACTTTTCGTGCTCTGCAAAGAAAAAGCCCGCAAAAAAAAAAAACAAAAGAAATCTTACTTTTTTTAATAATTGAATTGAAATTAATTACTACTTATAATAATACTATGTCCATAAATTGGTTGAGAGTTGTATCCCCCTCTATTGTGAAGCTACCTCCTCTTCTTCCATTCAGTTACTCGTCTCCTTCTTCTTGTTCTTGTTTTTCTTCGGTGGTTGTGGCAATGTCTTATGATAAGGAGCTGACTGCTGCCAAGAAAGCTGCCTCTCTCGCTGCTCGTCTCTGTCAGGTTACCATTTTTAAGCAAAACCCATTTTGTCTGCATTTGTTGTTTTGTTACAAATCATCCCTTTCCCTGTTTTGGGTTTTTAGTATGCCTTTAGATTTTTATTTGAAAAATCTGTTTTTTTATTTCTCTTTCTTTCTTTCTTTTGTTTTCATTTTGTGTAATTACCTCCTTGATTAACCGTGTGTCTGTGTAATTTTCCTTTACTTCAAAACGTAAGTTCTCTTTGCAGACTCTTTGGAATTATCGACCTGGTGAAGTCACTGAGTTGTATTTTACTTTTGTCAGTTGAAACTTTAATATTGAGATACCAGGCTTTATATCAAAAGAAATATACACGGCTATGGTTTGATCATGTACGCTGTGTTTATATAGAAACTGAATTTGGGTTTTTGGGTGTTTGTTGTAATCTTCAGAAAGTGCAGAAGAGTTTGCTTCAATCAGATGTTCAATCCAAAAATGATAGAAGTCCTGTAACAGTGGCTGACTATGGTTTGCTTTTGAAACTTTCTTGTGCTTTCCTCTATAGTTTTTCACTTGCTAATACAAGATTTCTTTTTCCTTTTAAATGTGCATCTTGGATTTTAAATGGGTTTCCATTCTTTTGTTTTTTATCCCGTTTGATTTACATGCTTCTTTCTACTTGTTAGCATGCTACTTAGAGTTTACCTGTTACCTTCTTTTCATAATTTGTTAAACCAGGGAATTTCCAGAGTCATATGACGTTTTCCTAGCTGTATTAAGAAAAATTTTCTACTGGATGAAATGTTTTTCTTCTGGTGAATCAAACTGCCATAGTTCATCCGAAGTGAAAGAATATTTATAGTTGTGCCATATGTAGTGCTTTGTTTGATGAGCATATCTCAATTTACAGTGCCCTGTAATCCATTTACCTGCTCAATAGTTGCCTCCTATTATACCTCCTTCTAAGGTCGTCTGCTTATCCATACAGATCATGTCTTTCCCCAAGCATATCAAATTTTAGGGGGAAATGTGATCATAATTTGTATTTATTATTTACAATTTCCTATATTATGCACTTGTTAGATGATACACTTATTATATGCAAAACTTGCAGGCATGCTACAATTTTCTGAATTTTCTTTTTACTTTTTGCATTGCTAATCCCTAAAAGATTTTGGCTTAAGTATTTATGCAATTATGCTATTCTTGATCTCAGCAACTTTCAGCTTTTAGAGTTGGTGTAGAAGAAACCATAACTGACCGCTGACATGTTCCCTTGACATTCTAAATATTAAAATTTTCATCAGGCTCACAAGCACTGGTTAGTTTTGTGCTGCAGCAGGAATTTCCTGCTGAATTCTCATTAGTTGGCGAGGAGGTAAATCTCTGCGCTTCTGGAGAATAGCTTGAGGAACATGCATTACTGTCCTCTTTTTTCCTTTAAATTGTAGAATTCCTTTTTCTTTTCCTTCGAAATAATGTTTTGGGTTCTCTTTAGGATTCTAAAGATCTTCGCAAGGATGGTGCCCAGGAATTAGTAGAGCGCATTACAAAACTTGTGAACGATTCTCTAGTTAGTGATGGATCATACGGTGTTACTTTATCCACAGAAGATGTTCTCAAGGCCATTGACAGTGGCAAATCTGAAGGTGGTTCCCAAGGTCGACACTGGGTTTTGGATCCTATAGATGGTACTAAAGGGTGAGCTCTGAAACTTAATATCTGATGTGAGTGATTTTGCTTTAGTCATAAAGAAGGGTTGAGAGGACAGAGAGAAGAAGCGAGTACGTTAAAATACCAGATGCAAGACAAGCCATAATTCTCTCTTGGTTTTGCATGACCAGACCTTTGAATTTTGTGCTTCAGAATTAATCAATTGTTCCTCAGGCTAACCCTTCCTTCATCTTTGTTAGATCCATTATTTTTAGATTTCTGTAGTTAATGATCTCAACTATTTTCCAGTTGGTAAAATGGTATTTTTTTCTAATGTTATGTGCTTATGGACCATCTTTCATGAAGTAGTGAATGCTTCTGATAATTGACATTGTAGGTTTCTAAGAGGAGGTCAATATGCAATAGCGTTAGCTTTGCTAGACAGAGGAAAAGTTGTTTTGGGTGTGCTGGCTTGTCCTAATCTTCCACTAACTCCCATCAATGATCAGCGTTCTCCAAATAATGAAGTTGGTTGTCTTTTCTTTGCCGAAGTTGGTGGAGGATCTTACATGCAGCCTCTTGATGGTTCTTCAACGGTGAAGGTTGTAATGATTTATTATAATTTCATTGCTATTAATCAGAGTAAGTATTTGCAACTTATACATTTATATGGGATTCAGGTGCAAGTTAGTGGCGTTGAAAATCCTGAAGAAGCATCATTCTTTGAGTCATATGAAGCAGCACACTCCATGCATGATTTATCTAGTTTAATTGCCCAAGTACTCTCTCTCTCCCTCTATATATATAAATATATGTATGTATGTATGTATGTATTTCCATGCATGATATGTAACGCTTAGATGTAAACAGAAACTCGGTGTTAAAGCACCACCAGTTAGGATTGATAGCCAGGCAAAATACGGTGCTCTGTCCAGAGGAGATGGAGCCATATATATGCGTCTACCTCATAAAGGGTATCGGGAGAAAATATGGGATCATGCTGCTGGGTGTATTGTTGTGACTGGTATGGACCAATTTGACTCCCAACATCTACTATCTTTCACTTTACTCGTGATGTAGGTTGGAATATTGATGGTTAGTTATCAGGATGGCATTGGTTTATTTAGCCATTCACTGCCCTTGTTGGGATGGGATGGTATAATAGTTAACTGGGGGCAGCTTTGTGATTGTCCGCTTTAAAAAATGGGTTCCTGTTTGTGTAGAATGTCTTCTTTTCTGTGCAATATGTTCCTTAGTTTAGAGTTACTTAAAGTCTATATTTTTATCCAAAACACGACTCCACAGGACTCCATCCTACATATTTGATTTCCAGTCTGGTCTTATTCAAGGGTCTCCCTTTGGGGCAGGGAAATAATTTCCTGGAGTATTTTGTTTTTATATGAAAACTTTTTCTTGCCACTTCTATAACATAAAAATTGTATATTCAAAATGGGGTTTCCCTCTTACTGGTCTATTTCGGCCATTGAAGGTTAATGATACAGCCCCTCCCCACTCCACCCTTTATTCCATTCACTGCCTTTTGACATATCTTTTTACAATTAATCTCTTGCAGAAGCTGGGGGTGTGGTCATGGATGCTGCAGGGAACCCTTTGGACTTTTCTAAGGGAAAGTTGCTTGATCTGGACACAGGCATCATTGTTACCAATCAGAAGTTGATGCCAGTACTCCTTAAGGCAGTTAGAGAATCCCTGGAGGAGAAAGCTTCATCCTTGTGATTCTTTTTACGAACAGGGTTTTATCCTTTCCTCATTTAAGCTTTATGTTTGGGGGGAATAAATTTCCCTTGTTAAGCTGGTTGCAAACTTGAATCATCTGTAGCATTTCTCTTATTAATCCCTGTCATTATGCTTTCCTCCTGTGGTTCCTATTTTCTTCTCAGTGCATGCAGTGTAGTAGGGTTGGCTCCTGGATTCCAATCCTCATTGATGTTGAATACCTAATATATTCGAGAAGAAAGTGCAATTAATGTTTCGGTGATCTACTGATTTGTTACTGGCAATCTGTCTTAGCTTGAACTGGCACGGTTCTCTTCTTACTGCAAGAATATTTTCTGGAAAAAGCTGCGCTTTGGAATTATATTGCGCCTGCTCAGCTCGGACAGGGTTACAACTTGCAAACATCCTTCACTTGTAGGATCCACGCAAAATGGGGAATTGCATTTAAGAGGACTGAAATTTCACTAAAAGCTCAGGGCAATTGAAAGGTTAAAGATAGTAAGCATTGCAATGACTTAGCAACACAACGTTATTAGGACACTGAGGAGTAACCTCTACGTAAACTCAACGTTATTAGGTCACTTCGTGGTATGTATTCATCATTTGAGTTAAAGATCAAGGCATTTACAAATTCTTTAGACACCTTGAATCTTCATTAAATTTCATAAAGAAAGAGATTTGAACCCATGCCTGTAACGTGTCCTTTTTGGATCAAAGATTATAACATCTCGCAGATTGGATTGGATATATGATGTGTCCAATGCGTTTTGATCAAAGAAAGCTTATTTATATTTAATGGAGGACCAGAGACGCAAGTATATATCCCACTGGGTGAAACTGTTATTCTAATAATTTATCATAACTTTGCCTCCTTCATATTACTCACAAGTTCAAGCTTCAGAGAGAAACTACTGCTTGTATATGGTTCGCCTAATGTGGAACGTCCGCAGGGTAATCTTGCGGGTGTCTGCTGATGGTTTCTCTCAGCAATTTCTCCTGCTCACGGAGGTTGGATGGAAGATCATCGTATACGTCTGTAAATAATTCCTTAACTGGAGGTTTCTCAACTTTCTCAGCCATTTGAATTGCAAGCAATAGCTGTCACCAAGAGTGTTGGATTGTTAGCAAGAAACTTCAGAATTTAGGTTTTGATTAGCAGTATACAATCATTTAACTACGGGCTTAGGGAGGGTGTCAACTAACCAGCATTAAAGTTGTTAATTGAGGGGAAGAATAGCAGGGTTGTTAACGGGTAGGGTATCCATCAATTTCGAGGTATCCGAATAATTTTTAAAATTACTATCTTAATCTTAATACATTTCTGTTATCTTATAATTATTTTAACTTATTTAAAAACCCGATTAGATAAAAAATTTATTAAAATATTCTTCATGGGTACCCAATTATCCAAACTTGTATCCATATACAATAATATTTCTCTTATATATTTAATATAATTAATCACTAATTAAATTAATAAAAACACAAATAATAAAATTCAAATTTAAATAATTAAAAACTATAAATTGTGTTTATAAATGAATATATAATATATACTATAAATCAACGTTATTTTATTGTTTAGTAATTATTAAATTACATAATAATAATTGTATTCTTTATAAATGAACATAATATATAATATAAAGTATATGTATTAAAAGACATTACAAGTTAATTAATAATCATAGTTTATTAATTAATTTAATTAATTATTAGTTTTTCCTTAATTACATAAAATTAAAAAAAAACTAAGTTTCAAAACTATTCTAATCTCACTTTTTTTTAGATAATTAAGTTTATATAAACAAGGATATATATATATATATATATATTATAATTAATAATTTTATAAGTTATAAGTTTTGTAATGTTAACACAAAATAAAAAGTAAATATGTTTTCATTTAAAGTGTATATACATATACACTCACATTAAAGGTATTTTACTATATGTATAATAGTAATTATATTCTTTATAAATGAACCCAATATATATAAAATAAATATATTAAAAAACATTATAAGATAATTAATAATAATAATTTTATGAATTAATTTAATTAATTATATAAGTTTGTCCTTAATTACATGAAATTAAAAAAAATAACTATGTCTCAAAACTATTCTAATCTCATAACTTCTTTTAAGGTTTGTATATTATAAGTTTATATAAACAAAGATGTATATATTATAATTAATAATTTTACAAGTTATAATTTTTGTAATGTTAATATAAAATAGAAAGTAAATATATTTATATTTAAAGTATATATATACTAAAAGTGTTAGTATATATATATAATATAGTAGTTATATCCCTTATAAATGAACCCAATATATAATGCATATATTAAAAAACATTTCAAGTTAATTAATAATCATAGTTTAATGAATTAATCTAATTAATTATATGTGTTTGCCTTTAATTATATAAAATTAAAAAAAAATAATTAAAATCCAAAACTATTCTAATCTCAAAAACTCTCTTTTAAGTGTATATATTATAAGTTATAATTTTTATAAAGTCAATATACAATAAAAAGTAAATATATTTATATTTAAAGTATATATATAATAGTAAATATATTCCTTTGTAATATGATATGATATTCACATTATTTAAACATACTAATAATCTAATAATTTTTTAATCTAAATATATTAAAATCATTACATTAATAATTTGAGTAATCATATTTTTTAATATATTTATCAGCTTTTAATGAATATATTAATGTTTATTTTTTTTAATTTAATTATTTAAATAATAAAAAAATATATATAAATGGCTATTAAAATCAGATTCGGGGCGGGTACGTGCATAACCCGAATATTAACGTAATTGGATTCAGGGAAGGGGTACTCAAGGGGTAATACCCAAACCCTACCCAAACTCAATACGAGTAAGAAAATCACTACTTGAATCCGTCTCAAGTCCGATTATAAGATAACTTAATCCGATGTAACTGAGTCGGATATTCACGGGTAACCTATAATAGGGTACCTATTGCCATCCCTAAAAAATAGAGAGAAAGAAAACATAATCTAACACCAAGCTTGAATCTAGAGATGCTTCAAATAATGCTAGTTTAAGGGTTTTACCTGACTCCGGATGCTGCTTCTGAGCTGCGTCTCAGCCTCACCACTCCACCAACCATTACTTTCAATCCACTTTCTAAACCTTGTTACAGGGTCTCTCGCCATTCTCCACCATTCGATCTCATCAGCAGGACGGTATTTGGTGGAATCATCTGATGTGGAATGGTGTCCAACTCGATATGTAACAGCCTAAAGTGAAAATGAAAAAACAAAATATCAAGGAATAACCCATTTATGCTTCAGCATTATGCATATGCCTCTCATGGTGGCTCAAAAGCTGCCAATGAAGAAGAATTAATGGGAGACTTACTTCAATTAAAATTGGCCTGTGTTCATTTACTGCCATTTTACGTGCGGTGTGCACTGCACTATACATGGCAAGTGCATCATTGCCATCTACACGAATGCTTCGGACTCCATAAGCTTGCCCTCTAACAGCAATCCCATCACCTGCACCATGTGCAAAACAAAATACATGATACGATACATATATACAATATTGATGGATTCATGGACAGTTAAAATAAAATAATGCACAATAAATAAAAAAAGGAAGGAAGGATACTTCGAAACTGGTCTGAAGTGGGTGTACTAATTGCCCATCCATTATTCCGACAGATAAAGATTACTGGAGCCTCTGTAACTGCCGCGAAATTTAAACCAGCATGAAAATCTCCCTATCATTATTTTGTTTTGTTAGAAACAAAGCACCAAAAGCTAAAATTCAATGAGATTGAGCAGCTAGGAAATGAACTCATTTATGCATCCTGGTCCCCAACAACACATACAAAAAGGAGGAGAAAGGTTCTTTGACCTCTGATAAGTTATGCAAAACCAGTCCCACCTGGGCTTAGCTGAAGTTCTTAGGGTGGGGTGGAGTTTAGTTAGAGATTTTAAATTCAAAAAAACAACAAAACTACCAAATTCCATTAACTGAAATTATCCTTCTCTAGTTACAGTAAGCATATGAAGCAATTGTATAGATTATAAAATCCTTTCCAGTTTCAAATGCTAAAGCCAAATGTTTTTTCCCTCAACACTGAGTTTCAGTAGTTGTATTTACCTCACTTGTGCCACCATCACCAAAGTAAGTGACAACACATGCGTCTTTTTTGTCCATCTTCAGAGAATATGCAGCACCAACTGCCTGGGGAATTTGTGTACTGAAAAACAGTGAGGAATTGTTATAGCCCTGATTTCCAGTATTAGATCTAAAGATTTTGAGAAAGTTCTATATGAGAAACTCCCAGAAAAACAAGCTTAATCTCTTACGCAATTGTTGATGATACGGTAAAGTATTTGTGCTTGTTAGATCCATAATGAATAGGCATTTGTCTGCCTTTTCCATAATCGGCTCTGTTTCCAAAACATTGGCTTGCAAATTCTTGCGGTGTGAAACCACGCCAGATTAAAACTCCTGGCTCCCGGTACTGCAAAGGACATCATTAACATTATGATAGCATCATTTAATTTTCAACCATGATGTGTACATTTAACTTAGCTGTTGGATTGTACATGAGAAAGTGCATCTTTGAACATAGGTTTATACAAACCAGATGTGTGAATCTACATCCCTAAATGGTTAAAGTTATGCTCTGTCCACAGATGTGAAATGTGCAGCTCGAAGGGATAGTAAGGGATGCATAAATCTCCATTTATGTTCTTGCCTGAGGAAAAACAAAGTCATCTGAGGTAACTGCTGCTGCTGATGCGATGTTGATGGCCTCTTCTCCAATTGTGGTCACATAGAAGGAAATTCTTCCTTGCCTTTGTGCTTCATAGAATATGGTATCCATAGTTTGAAGAGTAACCATGTCACTGTACATTTTAACAGCAATTTCCTCACTGACCTAATATAATATGTAACCGGTAAGGTTCTTTTTTGCTGAATGATGCTGCAATTCAAGGAAACAAAAAGAAAATGACTGTTTCAGGAAGTAAAATTGTACCTGTATATAATCGCTGTGCTTAATTAGCTGACCATTATCATCAAGCACTCGGTAGCAGTGGGTATGCACACTGGAAGATTCGGATAAAAACCTCATATCAGGAGAAAATATAATCTTTCCTCCTGGAAAATCCAATACCTTACATAAAAAGAGAGCTTTGGTGAGAATAAATATATTTATCAACATGAAAATAAAACCATTCCCAAGCAATAGC